TTAGAAAGTCTGACGGCGAGGGAGATCTGGTGCAAAAAATTGGAAGAACATGTGTGTGTGTGTGTTTCTCTCATTCAGGAGCGTTACGCAATCCGCGCGAATACGCGCACTGTATGCGTGGGTGAGGAAAAATCGGAAACACCCGTAAATAATGGGGTTTATGGATTTCGGGGAGAGTTTAATTGACAATTAACCGACGCCTTGTTGGCTAATGAGCGACAACAGGTCGGACAAATACATGCGTCCATTAGTTACGCAAATCCCGACCGAACGCATTCATAATTTCTATATTAATGCAGATAGTAACGATGTCTTATGTAGGCTACATTCAATTTTGCGTTTTACTATTTTTTTGTGACACTAACAATGTAATTAATAACTCAAATTAAAGATTTTCTGGAAGCCTTATACTAGATTTGTAACTATTACGACTTGCCTGTAATTTACTGTCAAAGTAATATACTAATAGCCGAATGGTTAAGTCGCGTTACCTACGAAGCCAGGACCTTTGTTAGCCTTCTCGATGCTTGCAACAATAGGGTCATAGTTCATCATAAATGCACAGTCGAATTAAAGAGGTTCAGCATATGGATTAACTACAGTCTTTTCTTGCATGGCAATTTCCTTGATAGTTCATCTAAGGTTATAGGTTAAATAGTATTATGTTATAATAATTATCGAATAAAAGATTTAATATACCCCTATTACAATGTATTTCTTCATTGAATCTAAATGTTAATGGTTATTCATATAGACAAATGTTATGGGTGACCCATTTTTAACCTCAGAACAATCGATATCCGTTCATGTTTTTTTCATTCGATTCCAAGAAATATTGTTTACATACTAAACTCTTTGAGCACTTTTCACGTATCAGAACGTTCTAAATTAAATTTTATTTTGTTTCTTTCTAATACTAATTTCCTAAAGTTACTTCAATATCATGTATGTATATATCATGAAATAAATAAATTCTTACATAATACACAATATAAACGTGATTTAACGGGTCTATACGGGACAACCGAAATCGAAATTTCGACGTTTAAAATCTCGGCTGTATTAAAGTCCCGACTATGTCAAAATCTCGACTACCATAATACCTAAAATCAAAATCCCGACTATATCGAAATCCCGACAGTGTCTTTTATTATTATAAATTTCTACAATAACATTTTTATGGTAGTCGGGATTTCGATATAGTCGGGATTATGGTAGTTGGGATTTCAATATAGTCGGTTCGATTTGGAACTTTGGGATTTTGAGCCAGCCCGTATTTAGAACGTCGGGATTTCGATACACTCGGGATTTCGGTTGTCGGGATTTCGGTTGTCCGGCTTGCAATTGCCACCGGATTTAACGTGTAGTTTTGTTGGTTGTCATGGAGACCATTGACAGTTTATACCAACTTAAAATAGGGGATATTGTTATTGATGACATTTATGTCATAACACTAATCCATTAAATTATCATTTTTTTTTCTGCATCTTTCTCTGCAACGTGACTACAACTTTAGCGCTCTCCCAATTCTCCATTGAATGGAGAGACAAACGCGATTTACGATCTGATAAACGTTTATTTACTCGCAAATTACCATTGTCCGTTTTGATATCTCGCACAAGAAGCCAATTATTTATTAGATATCTTACTACTACTACTACCTGCATTCGCTTAGAGCAAGGTCTCACTGCTTCATTTCATTTCCACCGATAGATATATATTTATTTATTTATACTTCTGCCGTTACATACATTCCCACTGTTACGCAATTCCGTTTAAACAGATGCAACGTTAATAACTAAGCAACAAGGATACGAATATTTTGTTTAATTATCCGCGCTGTGCGTGATACTACACATAAATTTATATCAGGATTAAAAATTAATACTTATAGATGGCAGCACTGTACGTAATTACAGTTGTCACTAATAGCAATTGGTATACCATTAAGCATAATGTACTAGAGGTTTTGACCTGACACTCACCACTGTGTTGTAGATAGTAAATGATCCCACCGATATGTGACTGGCAAACGGGTCAATATGACCCAGCTAAATGTGAAGGGGTTTCCAGAAGGAGACTCATTACCAGAAGAAGAAGAAGAATGATAATGCACAATAAATAAATTTCTTGTTGCATTCTTTATTTTACTTTTGCTCTGATCACATTTGTAACTAATTGTAAAATTTAATCTGTTTGTTATCTAAATGGTTAAATATTAATAACAGTTTATTGATGGAAAGTTATTGCTTTTAATCGTTGTTTTTTTAGTTTAAATCGTGAATGTTAACTGCAGACTCGGCGCTCGTGGAATTCGTTTGAAATGTTTGAAATGCAGCAGCAAACCTTACCAATAAATATAAAACTGAATAATTTATGTTTGATTAACTTAAAAATGCCGTTAATTAAATATTTGAAATGGAAAGTGCTTGTACAATTTATATTTTCATTGAAAAAAAAAATGAAATATTTTTATGTACAGTAAAAGCTCTAAGCTTATTGATTCATTGAAATTGTTGAAAAGTTATTTTGTAACTTATGTAATTATTTTATAATTTATTTACTCAGGACGCTGCTTTAGTTGCTAAAAGGCTACTTTTGAAATTAAGGACGTTACTTTAATTGCCATGGACGCTAATACAGTTGCCAAAAACGCCATTTTCATTTGTTAATGATGCTTTTTCAGTTGCTAGGGACGCTACTTCCTTTGTTAAAGACGCTACTTCCGTTGCTAAGGACACTATTTTAGTTGTTGAGGATGCTACTTCAGTTGTTAAAGACGCATTTCAGTTGCTAATGATGAGCTCCTAACGGCGCTACTTAAGTTTCTAAATACGCTACTTTAGTGCTATTTTTTATGCAGTTTCTTTTAAATTTATTGATCAAAAAAACGTTAATATTCTGTGTTAATTAATTAATTATTATAAAATAAATATTTATAAGATTCGGAAGCAGGTATACCCAAAATGTATGCCGGACGTTGCAGTTTTTTTCTTCTCAAAGTACAAATTAGAAACTTTTCCCATTAATCAAAATGAAATTGTAACCGGGTTTCAAGACAGTGCAGATTCATGTCTTCTGTGACCTTTCCTAATGTCGAGAGGTCAGCGTTATTTGCACCAAAACTATGACATTTTTTTGTAACTTATAATGATCTCACAAAATTTAACGTCATCAAATCTATCCAAATACTTAAATAATTTAACGTGTTTGTTAACGATTGATGTTAAGGATAATTGAAAAGCAATAAATCATTTGTTATTCAAATGAGTACGTTGCAAATTTTATAGCATGAAATAGAAACTTTATCTGCATGTGAATTTTTTTTTCTTCTCAAATTCCATAACGTTTTTTTTCTTGTGAATTCTTAATTTTGCATCTACCGTTAATCTGTATTAATTAATCTTAATTAAAATGTACAATTTAAATACAAACGAACTTTAAGCATCGATAACTTTCATTTCTCACATTTCTTCTTTTTTTTTTTCAAAAAAATTTCTTTAGTTTTTAAATATTAAAATTTGACATGCTCGCATTTATTTTTCGGTTACGTTGAACTACTTATGCAATAATACACATTTTTGTTGCTTTTCGGAATTCCGCGTTGCGGTGCATTTCACCTTTTTCTCGTTTTTTTAGAAAGCATTGAATCAAATTTTTCGTTTTTAATTCCGTCGAATTCATTTGTTCGCCGCAGAAGACAAAAATACAAAACAATTAAATTATTTTCACTTTTCTTGTGTGCTACAATATATTGCAATTGCATAATCTTCGATAGTATTAATTCAATATTTTGGATATCTTCTTAAATTTGAAATATAGTCGTTAGTATTTGTCAAAAAAAAATATACGAAAAACTTAAAAGTTGTTAAGTTTTCTATTATATTAATACAATTGTATTTCCTTCGCGTTTTTTGGTAAACTTTAATTGCTAAGAACTCTATTTTATTTGCTATGGACGCTACATTACTTACTAAGGACGTTACTTAACTTGCTAAAGATGCTACATTAGTTGCTATGGACGTTACTTTAGTTGCTAAGGACGCTACTTTAGTTGCTAAGGATACTACTTTATTTGTGAAGAACGCTACTTTAGTTGATAAGGACGTTACTTAACTTGCTAAAGATGCTAAGAAATCGTATTTCCTACGCATTTTATTTGGTAATTTGAAATCTTATTTAGTGGAAAGATACTTTGTATAATTTTGAATATATTCATTAAATCAAAAACTTTAATTTCAAATTTATTGGAATTTGTCAATATGAAGCACCGAAAACAAAAAATGCTAAGTTGTCTATGATGGAAAACAAAAGTTTTATAAGATTGTTGTTTGTTTAATAATAATATTTATATCTTAATGAAAGCAGAGTTTTGAAATGAAAATCTAATTTGAAATACAAAAATAACAAGACAAAATACAATATATCAGCTTTTAATTGAAAACAAAAACTTCTCCGTTATTAAATGATAATAGTTAAGATCAAATAGACAGAATTGCTTTGGAAAAATTACTAAAAAAGTGATGAATTATTAAATAGAAATGTTTGATATTTACTGATAATTGTAAAGGACAAAATAAATTATGAATATACAAGTTTCTAAAGAAATCAGACAAATAATTGAAACGTTAAATGTTATAAATGAATAACACAAAATTTGTATTCTCAAATTAGATAGTTGATTTTTTCCCCAAAATTATTAACATCTACAGTAAAATACATTAGAAATTAGTTAAAAGATTGTTTCGTTAATGATAGTTTTAGTATAACTGAGTGCTTTTAATAGAAATTGTAAATTGCGATCTGATATATTGGAAATTCTTTGTATTTGAATTTTAGATTGAATTTATTCACGTATTCAAATTATCTAATTTCCACTATCCATTTCGGTCATAATTTAATGCAAATGCTATTGTATTTAAAAATTGGTGGTCGAATTTCCTTGTATATATAAGAACGTGTTTGCCCTACGGTATTAGAGTAGAAAAGAAAACGAAACAATGAGGCAGATAGTCGATAGCGCGCTTAATCGGTGGAAAGATGACGAAGTATTGGAAGAAGTGAACAAACAGACCATCGAAAAGATCATTCCCAGTGAAGAAGATGTTGAAGTTAAAGAAGTGAAGAAGACATACGTATGGAACGTGGTTTGGACTAACGTGCTGCTGATCGGAGGTCTGCATCTCGGCGCGATCTACGGCCTCTACATAAGATCGTCCGTCCCATTGGTAGGATTAGTGTTCAGTAAGTGCGTTTATATTATTAGCAAGAATTTGCCGGTCAAACGTTTGTGATCTTGCAGACAGGATTCTCGGATTCGTCAGCATCTTCGGGGTAACTGCAGGAGCTCACCGACTCTGGTGCCACAAATCCTACAAAGCTAACACCTTCGTGCAACTTCTTCTCCTCTTCGCCAATTCGTTGACTTATCAGAACAGCGTGTACACGTGGTCCAGGGACCACAGGTTGCATCACAAGCACAGCGAAACCGACGCGGATCCGCACAACGCGAAACGAGGTTTCTTCTTCAGCCACGTCGGATGGCTTCTGGTTAGAAAGCACGAGGAAGTTATTGAGAAAGGAAAGACCATAGATATGAGCGATTTACAAGCGAATCCGTACGTGATGTTCCAGCACAAATACTACTACCCGATAGTGTTCATGTTTACTCTGGTCATTCCGACTTTTATACCCTGGTACTTCTTCAACATCAGCTTCCTCAACTGCCTCTTCAGCATGACCATCTACAGATACATCATGACCTTAAACCTGACCTGGTGCATCAACAGTTTTGCGCATATGCATGGAAACAAACCGTACGACGCGTGAGTCTAATCCCAAATAAAGTAACAACAAATAATCTATAATAACAACAAAAAAATTGAATTTGATTCGCAGATCGATCGGTCCCACTGAAAATACTTTCATGAAGTATTTGGGAACCGGCGAGGGTTTCCACAATTACCATCACACCTTCCCGTGGGACTACAAGGCGTCCGAACTGCAGATGGATTTCCAGAATATGACCACTCTGCTCATCGATTTCTTCGCGAAATGCGGTTGGGTCACCGATAGGAAAACTGTTGAGAAACCGATGATCGTTCAGAGGGCATCTCGCACCGGAGACGGAACTTACAAGAAACGCTTCGGTCTGAAATTCCTCGAGCAAGCTAAAAACTTGACAGTTTACTTACTCTTCTGGATGGTCGTTTAAGCTATTTATTTAACTTACAAATACAATACTAATTTAATCACCTATACTGTTTGTAGATAAAATAGATTAAAGTTCATTAAAGTGTAAAGAAAGTGTTTGCTTTTGAAAAAATTACTTCATACAATTAGAAAACGAAACGAAATGAAATAAAGACTCTTTTTTAGGAAATTTCAAGAAATTCATCTTCAATTTTAAACATTCAAATGTGAATTAATTTATTTGAATCTTAATTTATTGTTTATAATAATCAAATTTGTATAAAAAAATAATTACTAAATGTTTATTTCAACAATCTAGCAAAGGATTAAAATTGCTGTAATTATTTAAGAAATAAATAATCGATTTTGTAAACTAGATGATTTTGTTATTATTTATTGAAACTAAATCATCTACAATTCGTTCTATTTTTAACTTTTATTTTAAATTTCTAAGAGGCAAAACAAGAATAGATTTGACAATATATTCCTGTGAACATTAAGTAAATCTTATGTCGGTTCGCATTTGTTTTTTGGTAAGCTTTCCAATGGAAGTTTTTACCATTATTTATTAAATACGTTCAAAATTTCGTTGAATATTTAATAATTTTATATGGAAAATTTTGTCATTACTTCCTTCAAGGAAAGCATATTTAATTACGTGGACTTTGATACACGAATAAATTAATCAACTTTAAATAATGAAAGATGTTTGGTATAAAAATGGTGTAAAAATGATATTCAAACCGTTTTGATTATTGTCTAGTGAAAATAAAGATAATTGAAAATATTATAATTGAATAAGTGTTGGTGTTTTGAAATAGAAGATTAAGGCTATATGAATAATGCAAATGTAAAATGCATTTAAAACTATAATAACAAAAAAATATTAAATTCATATTGTATTGAATGAAATCTACATTTTAGTTTGTAATACATCAGAACTTAATAAATGGTAGACGTTTCACGAAGGAAGAGATTTTCGAACAGATATGTTGTCCACTGAGAAGTTCTTATCTACGGAGGTAGTATCTAAGATGTTGTCCACGGAAAAGGAAACAGAGAAGAAGTACAAATGGGACATAGTGTGGATTAACGTATTCTTCATTGTCGGCATGCATCTGGCCGCGCTGTACAGCTTATATTACAGAATGCAGAGTCCTCTGAAACCATTTCTGTTCAGTGAGTGAAGAAATAAGAATTTCGTTTCATTTAATAGATTTATAATAATTGTATGTTTGCAGGTAGATTCATCGCTGTTATTTCGTCTTTCGGTATAACCGGTGGAGCTCACAGGTTGTGGTCGCACAGGAGTTACAAGGCAAATTGGATGGCACAGGTGTTTCTTCTGTGCTGTGCTTCGATGACTTATCAGAATAGCGTTTACATTTGGTGCAGGGATCACAAGTTACACCACAAGTACCCCGAAAGTACAACGCGAAGAGAGGTTTCTTCTTCAGCCACGTCGGATGGCTTTTAGTTAGAAAGCACAAGGATGTTAAGGAGAAGGGAGAAACTATAGATATGAGGCGAATCCTCTGGTCATGTTTCAGCACAAGTATTACCATGTTATCGTTATCCTGATGTGCTTCGTCTTTCCGACATTAGTGACAATGTACATGTGGATTTTGTAACTGCGTTCTTCGGGTTGACCACGTGGCTACAGTCAATATCACCTGGAGCATCAACAGCTTCGCCCATTTGTATGGTACAAAACCCTACGATAAGTAAGAGACATTTCTATTTCCAACCGAAGATATATTTCCTTTTGGGTATTTCATCTGATTTAGGAGCGTCGAAGGAACACAGAATCTCTTCGCGATATACGCATCCATCGGGGAAGGCTTCCACAATTACCTTCATACCTTCCCGTGGGACTACAAAGCTGCCGAACTGGGCAACGATTCCCGTAACTTCACAACGTTTATGATCGACTGCATGGCCAAGATCGGTTGGGTAACGGATAGGAAGAGCGTCGATCGAGATCACGTTGAGAAGAGATCTTCCCCAACGGGAGACGGAACCTTCTCCAAACCCATCTTCTTCCTGAATCCTATCACTTAATCTTATCACATGTATTATTTATTTTTCTTCTTCACTGAAGTTTGAGAGACGCTATTTTAGATAATTGATATTTAAAGTTTACTAATAAATACTTTATTTGTTTGAAAAACTGTAAATTTGAAAAGAGAACCAAAAATTAATAATTATTTTTCACTATTTACAAAATTAAATTAGTAAAACTGTTGTAATTATAAATTTTCTTATATATTAAAACTGCGGTACTTTGATGTTGATAAATGCAAACGTTTCAATTCATATGCAGTTTAGGATTCGTTACAGATACAGAAGAAAAAAACAAGCGGTGAGGCAATAAATCTTAATGCAAAAAGAAAACTTTCTTTCTCAGATGAAATTTATTGGTCTCAATGAACATGTACGGCAGTCTCTCGATATAAGGAAAAAACGCGTGCCAACTAAGCACATTATAAGTATGCAATTTAATTTTATTTTAATCCATCTTTTAACAATCGGTTAATTCCATTCGTTACACATTAACGAGCTCACAGAAACGCGTTGGTTTATAGCAACAATAAAACCATATAAAAAACATACTTTGTAAATGGACTGAAATAATGTTTACTTTTGCATAACGTTAACAATAATCTTAGATTCTATAAGTAATTGAATGATAATTTTTGAAAAAAAAATCTCAATTTTGGGTTTCATTTTACGACTATGATTCGGCAGAAATGGATTTTAAAAAGTCTATATTTTAAGAATTTCATTGTTTTATTGAATAATTAGAAAAAGGGTAAAACAATGATAAATGCAGGCTAGGCTTTTGTTTTTTATTTTGATGTGTAAGATAAAGAGTTTCATTTTACGACCTTGATTCGTAGAACGGATCTAACATATCCAAAAATCTATTGTTATACTGTAAAATCGAATAGGATTTCGAAAGTGTGTGATTAAACTGTGATTTATGTCTTTAACAATTACGCATTTGTTGACCATGACCACCTGCGTCCATTCTAGTCCATTGCAAATAGTAAAATAACAATAATTCGTTTCAGCATTGTACATTGTAACCGAATCCGGACGATAAAAAAAAACTTGAATTCAAATCGTAAACTTTATATTAACAATATATTTGCTAATTTTCTGCCTGACATAATAAATATGTAAGTATTTGCGGGAGATAATCGATCGTTGGAAGTAATAAAATTCTATTCGATTGTACGCAATTTGGGTGGCAGTAAATATCTCCGTTTTTGGGAAACAGTGAAAGGTACTGCGAATTCGTGGGTCGTGGGTGTAGTTTACGCACTGAAACGACGTAAATTCTTGAAATTATTAAAGAAATTCGTATGAAATCAATTCGGAATTGCTTTCAGAATGCCCAGCTCCTCCACACTTTATAAAATTGTTTGCATATTTGGAAATTGTTCTCAATTCTTGAGAAATGTTTTTAGTAACATTTTTTTAATTGGAGATTTATCGAAAATTATATTTAATTTATAAATTTCAAAGATCTCTTTCATTTGTATTAAAATTTATTAATAAATTAGAAAAAAAAAATGAGAAATGAAGAATTTCAAAAAAAAATCACTTTAGATCAGAAATAATTTAAATTCATAGCAACTGCAGGAATTGCATACTATATAATGACAGTTGTGGTTGTTATGGTAAAAATTATTGAATTATTGTTTTTTCGAGGTTATAAGCATTTCTTAACCTTTTATGCAACGCGAGCCAACATATTTGTTTATAGTTGCACCGAAGTTTTAAGAGTACTTCCTTGCGAAATGACAGCTGTCACCATGTGTAAAGGTGACAGCTATCATTTCGCTGTCCTTTAAAATTTTGACGTAACCCAATTGTGCTGAGAAACGCTTCTGTATATACAAAGTATACATAACTGTGAATTCTTAATCTTTGCGACAAATCTGAATTGCTGTTCTAGTCCAAATGTGGATTCCGTACTTTAGCAGAGTTGTAGAGACTTGAAGTCATGCACGACGTGGCAAACCGAGATCGCGTGTCCAATTTTTTGTTCATAATTTTTGCTCTATTTTGCACCGTTCCCAAGTGTCGTATGTTATTTTTAGAAAATGGCAAAATGATAATCAGCGAAGTTCCGAAGCGGGTTTTACGCCGTACCCACAGCATACGCTGCCAATTAGAGAACATTATTATTATTAACTTTTACTTAAAAAAAAACAAAAACAAAGAATTTCACATATTTATAATCTACACTCAAATGAATAAAGTCGAGAAATCAACGTGCTGATAACAAGTTTATTAAAGCAAAAATTGATACATCTGTATTACGAAATCTTATATAAAAATTTCATGCAATAAAAACAACAACAACAGAAAAAAATATGTTTTTAAAAACTTTAAATAAAATTAAATTTATGTTGGAATTAAGTTCAGCATTGAAAGTGATTTGATTATCGTATAATTTAATCAATTGAGCCAAGTTACGTAAACAACGCGAAATAGTTTATTAACTTCTTCGAGTTTTCTTGTTTTCATTGCTGAAGTTTTTCATGTTTACTTAAACATTTCACATTCGTGGATGATCATTTACACACTTTGCATATTCTTACATTTATGTAGTAAATTCACACCAAGTTTCTAATTAGTTCATAAATCGTAGTTAATTGCCCATAAACTGTACCATTTCCAAATTACAAAAAAATACATAAGAATGTGCGTGTAAAATATACATTTCTCCATCAATTTGTAATTTAGTTACAAAAATACAATAAACTACAATTGCTTATAATTCAATGAAATTGTACAGATTTGAGAACATTTCCAAATAGAAAATATCACATTACTTGCATTTTAATTTTTTGGTAAACTTTTGTTGAAGACACAATTTGGGATTTTTCTTGTGGACAAATGTTGTTATATTTATGTGATGCAAGGAAAATATTGGAAAAGTGCCCATAAACTGTACCATTTCCAAAATACAAAAAAATACATAAGAATGTGTGTGTAAAATATACATTT